CACGGCACGCACGCATGCGCGCACACACACGGCACGCACACGCACACACACACGGCACGCACACACACGGCGCGCACACACACACAGAAATGACCAAACTCTACTGTACACGCAGGTAAAAGGGATGGCTGCCGGCCGGGGGATGCCACAGAATGCCTGTGAATCTTGAGTCGGGGGCGCACAGAGGCTTCTTCTTTTTGTGGACCTGCCAAGTAAATGCTCAAAGTCTCTTCATTTATGGGAGATGCTTTTGCTTCCAAGAAGGCCTTTTTGAGTCAAACCAGAATTATTTGGGCATAATAGATGCTCAGTGAATTTGTTAGTTGAATTATTACTTGACAGAAGGGGAAAGCATAGATCCATTTAAAGGTATCGCAAGTCAAGCAGAAACAAGGGCACGATTTAGTTCACGGAGAATTTAGATTAAAAAATACATTTAGAATATGAGATTACAAAGTTAGTATCAAAATACCATTTAAAAATATGCTTAATAGGCCGGGTGCGGCAGCTCACGCCTGTAATCTCAGCACTTTGGGAGGCTGAGGCAGATGGATCACCTGAGGTTGGGTGTTTGAGACCAGCCTGGCCAACATGGTGAAACTCCATCTCTACTAAAAATGCGAAAATTAGCCGGTCGTGGTGGTGCATGCCTATAGTCCCAGCTACTCAGGAGTTGAGGCATAAGAATCACTTGAACTCGGGAGGCAGATGTCGCAGTGAGCCGAGATCGCACCACTGCACTCCAGCCTGGGCCACAGAGCAAGACTCTGTCTCAAAAAAAAAAAAAAAAAAAAAAAAAAAAAAAATTAACAAATCAGGAAGTACCGATGGTCTCTATGTAACCACCTGCATTCCATGCCCTCTGCTGTGTTGACTCTGTGTGAGTCTCTCGGGAATGGCCTCTCCAAGTAGAATTCAGCCCCTTTTCCATCTATCAATGTTTATTTTTGACTTCTCATTTCTTAGAGCTTTACGAAGAACACAAAAGAGCAATTAGTCACCCATGATAGGCTCAAGACATGGTCAGAAGCATGTTGAATCCTGACTTTTGTGTGATGTATTTTACATGCTTTAGACTGAAGTGAGCTAATAGCTCGACTGCTGCCGGCATCTATCCTGGTTCTGCTGGTCAGTTACCTTCAGCGTTTCCAAAGGATGCTAGTTTTGATGGGGAGAGAAGAGACGTTACTCACCCACAACGACAGAATCACATTAGCGTGAAAATGGTGGGCTCGAGCCACAGGGTGCACTTCAGCAGTTCAGAGCAGCTTAAGTCTCAAGACCATAGTTATTCTTTATTTGCACAGTGATGTTACAACAGTTTATGAAAAGGAAGCCGAAGGAGAAAGACAAAAATATCACCCACATACTAGTACAATGTAGAATCGCACCGTGTGCCCCAGGTCAGCGTGAGTCTGTGAGTCAGAAGATTCCAACCTAATGTTTCTTTGCGGCTCCCACGGTGCCAGCAGCTTGGTCCTTTGGTGATCACAGTGAAGACTTGAGACCTCCCTGTTTCTTCCTCATCGTCTTCATCATGTCCTCCTCTTCTTTGTTTTCCTCAGGATTCTGTGCAATATTGCCCCTAAATGCACACCAGTTAATTCACCTTGTGTTCAGCTGAATAAATAACCATTTCATTGCTGGAGTTAAAAGAAAAAAAAGGCTAGGTTGGATTTGAACTTCGTTCTGTAGTACCGTCTGGATGGTTTAAGAGATTGTCAAGGGTGATTTTAAATGTACTTGATTTTCATGTATGCCCTGACTTTGTCATCAATGCCCCAAGTAAGATGTGACTCCATCTTCCAAATAAATGCAGCGCAGAGGGGTGACAGCGACAGGCTCAAAACAAAGGGGGGGATTTTGAGAGACTGTTATGTGGTGGGAACTGGGCTGTCAGGAGAGTTCTTGGAAAGGAGCTGGCAGCAGGACGTGCCATGTCAGAGGCATGGAGACTCGAGAAGGGAGCGTGATGTGCCACAGGTCCTGCCATGGGAGGGTGGTTGGAGTGGAGTGTGCTTCTGCCATGCAGGGTGAGTTGTGTTCTGGGCTGAGGCATTTATCCCAGAGACACATTCAGCCATTAATAAGCAGGATAGAAATGGGCCCCAGTCTCACGCGGTTGACAGTTGAACTGGATACGGGGAGCTCTTTGCAGGTTTTAAGCAGACAAGAGACCCGATCCTGTTTGCTGTGTATGCACGTGCGTGCACGCATACACACACACACACATCAATTAAAAAAGATAATACATGCATGTGGTGAAAAGTATCTGACAATACAAAAGCCTGTGTGTCTCTTTTCTCTTTCTTTCTTTCTTTTTCTGTCTCTCTCATTTTGAGAAAGGGTCTTGGCCTGTAGAGATCAAGGCTGCGGTGGCGTGATCATGGCTCACGGCAGCCTTGAATTCCTGGACTCACCTGTCCTCCTACCTCAGCCTCCCTAACAGCTGGGACCACACGTGCATGCCACCATGCCTGGCTAATTTTTTACATTATTTGTAGACACAGAGTTTCATCATGTTTCCCAGGCTGGTCTTGAACTCCTGAGCTCAAGTGATCCTCCCACCTCTGCCTCCCAAAGTGCTGTGGTTACAAGCCAGAGCCTCCTGATTCTCCTCTTTAGACATAGTCATTGTTACCTCTTTTTGATGTATCCTTCTAGAGGCATTCTGTGCGTACACAGTGTATATACACAAAAGTATCTTCACTTTGCTCACTTTCATTAACAGCGAATGTTGAAACTCATTAACACTTCATAGTGATCTACTGCATTCTTCTGATGGCAAAAGAACATGACTAGGTGCATCTACCGTAATATAACTAGTGCCCTGTGGCTGCGCGTTGAGGTAGTTTTTTAGTCTTTTTGCTGCTTCACAGCTGCTGCGTGTATTCCTGGATGCATGCTTTTGCACATGTATCCAAATATATCTTTGGAATAAATTTCTAGAAGTGGAGTTATTAGGTCACAGGGTTTGTGCATTTCAGATTTTCTAGCTGCAGTTGCATTGCCCACCAGAGAGGTTGTACCAATTTGTTCTGTCACAGATAATGTACAGGAGTGTTTATTTCAGGAAGCCCCAGGTCAATTTTTTAATCTTTACAGATTTTCTGGGTTAAAAGGACGGCTGATGTTGAGCATCATTTTCTTTGTTCAGGAGCTCAGTTGTATTTCTTTTTCTGTGGATAGCAATTTTGTGCCCACCTCTGTTTTTCTTTTCCCCCCCTCCCTCCTTCCCCTCCCTCCCTCCTTCCCTTCCTTTCTCTTTTCTTTTCTTTCTTTCTTTCTTTTTTTTTTTTTTTTTTTGAGATGGAGCCCCACTCTATTGCCCAGGCTAGAGTGCAATGGCACGATCTTGGCTCCTGCAACCTCCAGCTCCCAGGTTCAAGCGAGTCTTTTGCCTCAGCCTCTCTACCAGCTGGGATTACAGGCACACACCACCACACCCAGCTAATTTTTGTAGTTTTACTAGAGAAGGGGTGTCACCATGTTGGCCAGGCTGGTCTCAAATTTTGACCTCAAGTGATCTGCCTGCCTTGGCCTCCTGGAGTGCTGGGATTACAGGCTTGAGCTACCGAGGCTAGTCCTTTTTTTTTTTTTTTTTTTTTTGAGACAGGGTCTCACTCCATCACCAGGCTGGAGTACAGTGGCAGAATCATGGCTCCCAGCAGCCTCAACCTCTCAGGCTCAAGCAGTTGTCTCATCTCAGCCTTACAAGTAGCCAGGACTACAGGAATGTGTCACCACACTCAGCTCCTTTTTTTTTTTTTTTTTTGAGAGATGGGGTTTCACTGTATTGTCCAGGCTGGTCTCAAACTCCTGGGCTCAAGAGATCTGTCTGCCTCAACCTCTCAAAGTGCTGGGATTACAGGCATGAGCCATCTTACCCAGACTTCATCTCTATTTTCCTATTGTGTTGTTAGCTTTTCTTTCTTATTGATTTATGAATGCTCTTTACATAATAAGCAGATGAACTTTTTTTCTTTAGTAAGAGTTGTAAATAGTTTTTTGCCCAGTTTCTCATTTGTCTTCTGACTTTGTTTATGTTGTCACTTTTGAAAAAGTTTCTTTATTGTTTATGAGGTTTGTATTTTATATTTATGTTACTAGAAACTTAAACTAAGATGAAGAGAAAGAGAGATGTTTGAAAGACATAAATACTGTGTGTGTATGTGTGTGTGTGTGTGTGTGTGTGTGGCAGGTAGAATGGAAAGAACAGGAAAGATTTTTTGAAGCTATATTAATAGGTGACTTTTAAAGTCTTTTCAGAGAACTGAGCAACAGAGGCCTGGAAACAATCTTTAGATACTACAGTTCAAGGACAGGAGAAAAAACATGGAATTAAGGAAATAGAAAAGGAGGGGTCTGATGTGGCAAATGCCACTGGAAAGGGCAGTGGGTGTCCCATGGCTGAAGGCTGTCAAGGCCTCCAGAATCAGCCTTCCTTCCAGTGGCCTCGGTCCTAGCCACAGTCCTGCGCATCTGAGACTGGCAGATGAATGATTAATGTCATTGACTCTGGGCCTTCTCTTATATTTTGAGGCAGGGTGCTTACAAAGGGCAATTCAGTAAATAATTAATCTAATGAAATTGATGTAAAATCTTAATCATAGCAGCTGGGCACTGTGTCTCATTTCTGTAATCTCAGCACTTTGGGAGGCCAAGGCAGGTGGATCACTTGAGAAAAGAGTTTGAGACCAGCCTGGCCAACATGGTGAAATCCCGTCTTTACTAAAAATACAAAAAATTACCCAGGAGTGGTAGTGTGTGCCTGTAGTCCCAGCTACTCCAGAGGCAGAGGCAGGAGAATCGCTTTGATCCAGGAGGCTGAGGTTGTCGTGAGCCAAGACTGTAGCAGTGCACCCCAGCCTGGCAACAAGAGTGAAACTCTGTCTCAAAACAAAAACAAAAACAAAAACAAAAACACTTTATTGTTGCAGCAACCTGTTACATATTAACATTTTCGCCTCTTCCTCTCCTCTCTCTATTTTTTGGTAAAGGGCCCACCTGGAGGCTGCAGGGCACGTGTGCGTTCTGAAAGATGCCTTTGACTTTGGAAGCCCGTCTGAGATTGCAAACCTCATCTTGGCTGAGAACTGCGAGGCCGCCCTGGCTCTTCATCTCTATAGGGCAGGCCGCCTCTTGCAAGGTAACCCTGTTTCTCTTCAAAAGTGGAATACCAGAAATACTGAAAACCAGAAGTGCCTGCAATGTCTAAGAATATGGGAAACAATGTCTCCTATTTATTCAATTCAGAAATGGGAGACATGCAATAATCTCTTCGATTTGTTTTCTTAGTGCATAATTTTCTTAAATGTGATAACTGTGTCACTCAAGAGTGGATGTGTATTGAAGCTGTTTTTACCATATTAATAGTATCATCTGAATTTTGTTTTTTGAGACAGGGTCTTACTCTGTCACCCAGGCTGGAGTGCAGTGATGCAATCTCGGCTCGCTGCGACCTCCACTTCCTGGGATCAACAATCCTCCCACTTCAGTCTCCCAAGTGCATGCCACCATGTTCCCTGATTTTTAGTTTTATTTTTGCAGAGACAGAGTCGCACCATTGTTGCCCAGGCTGGTTTCGAACACCTTTACTCTACACTGGGGCAACGTTCAGGGGATCCATCCTCCTCAGCCTCCCAAAATGCAGGGATCACAGACATAAGTCTGGCCCTGAATTTTTTCAGTACATGTTTCATCTTTCAAAATATATTTTTTCAAAAGGATTATTTTACAAATACAAAGGAGCACTTATCAATTTATGAGGAAAGTACTAAGAAGTTAAAACCAGTTTAAAGCACATTCGAGCCACTGGAGTTTAAACTGGCAATTTGATAAAGAATATCAGAGAAAATTCACCAGGTCAGTTGCAGAACTGACTAACATCCAGCAAGGCAATGGGCCCCAAGCTCTGGAAGTATCTTTTCTATGGGACAGAAATGATTTACATCTCTCCCTGACAGAAAGCTGCAAATGACTTAATGTAACTTCACAGAATATGAGCTCTCAACGAACAGCACATAATGAAGTCAAACAATGATACACTCTCTCAGAAAATCAATCTTTGGAGGACGCTTTTAAATGTGGCGTCTGAGAACGTTGCAAGAAAACGCACGTGCACCTTATTTATTCTGTCTGTGCAGAACATTTTTCTGAACACTCCGAAGACCCATCTGACTTTACTGAGGGTATAGGAGGCACCAGATGAAGCAAGACAGATATTTTTATTCCTGTTCAGCCTGTGTGGCTTTCCTCAAACATGAATTAAATGGCACAGTAGTGGTCATTTGTGCTGCACCATTTTAAGGGTAATATGTGAATATATAGCATGTCATTTGAGGATCAAAATTAGCCCCAGTCATTAACACAGCAGAATTAAGTTTTGATCAGCAAAATGTGTCACACTTGTAAAACCTTTAGAAGTTTTTTTGTTAATCATGATTTTTAAAAAATTTCTTTACACTGTATCAAACCTTATGTAAGCTCCAGCTGGTTTTCGTGCCTCCTGTGCCTTAGGACGTTGAGCCCTCTCTCTCTTCATATATGGGCACATCTTACTACGTGTTCTTTCTTTTCTCAGGTAATACGTGAAAATTGCCCCAGTGTAGAGTAAAATGTAACTGAGTGGTATAGTATGAAAAGCAAGCTTGTCTTCCGCCTCTCATCTTCACTGTATCATTTCTCATTTCCAGAGGCAACCCACAGTTATCATTTTCATGTGTATATTCTCCTAGAAATACATATATATATATATATATACTGTGTTGGTCATCTATTATTATGTAACAAATTACCCCCAAACGTAGTTGCTTATAGCAGTACATTTGCTATCTCTTAGTTCCTGTGGGCATTCAAAAGCAGCTTAGCTGGGTGGTGTGTCTCAGGGTTTCCCATGAGGCTACAGTCTCATCTGCTGGTTTGACTGGGGCTTGCAGATGTGCATGTATGATGGTGCACTCACAAGGCCATTGGTGGGAGACCTCAGTTCCCACCAGCAGGAACCTTTGAAAGGTTGTCACTGACTGTTGCAGCTCTTTTACACAGTCACAGAGCCTCGGCCCTGAGTTTAGTGATTCTATTGACTGTGAGTTATGTTGCTTTCTTTTCTTTTTTTTCTTTGACTTTCAAGTTCAGCCGTACACGTGCAGGAGGCAGGTTTGTTCCTTAGGTAAACGTGTGCTGTGGTAGTTTGCTGCACAGATCAGCCCGTCACTTAGGTATTATGCCCAGCGTCCATTAGCTAGTCCTGATGCTCTCCCTCCTCCCATTCCACCCCCAAAAAGTTGTGTTGTTTTCTGTAAAGTGATATCTATTTTTTACTTTCTTTCTTCTTCTTTTTTTTTTGATACAGAGTCTTAATCTGTGGTCCAGGCTAGAGTGCAGTGGTATGATCTGGGCTCACTACAACCTCCACCTAGCAGGTTCAAGTGATTCTCATGCCTCAGCCTCCAGAATACCTGGAATAGCTGTGATTACAGGCGTATGCCAGCCCGCCCAGCTGATTTTTGTATTTTTAGTAGAAACAGGCTTTCACCATGTTGGCCAGGCTGGTCTCCAATTCCTGACTTAAGGTGACCCGCCTGCCTTGGCCTCCCAAAATGCTGGGATTACAGTCACGAGCCACTGTGTGTGGCCCCTGTTGTTTCTTTTAAAGTGTTTTATGCACATACGCAGAACATTTTATTCCCACAAATGGGATTCGATCTGTATATTTAACTCCTAGCTCAGCTACTTTTCCAAATCCACAAAGCCATGTCTGTTATATTCTTTTTATTGGCTGTGAGGTATTCCACTGTGAGAATGCACCGTACTTATTAAAAGTCTCTCTCTTGTTTTTTTTTTAGCTATTCCAAGGAAGGCTGGAGTATTTTCCATTATATTTCTTTACTCCACTGTGTGAGGATGTTGGAAATATAAATTCCTGGGAAAACCTGCAGGCCAAAGGGCTGTGTAATTTTTGTTTTGATTGACACTGACAAATTACTGTATGGAAGGGTTATTCCAGTTCATATCCTACTAACAGATGGGCAAGAACCTATCTCTCCCCTAGTCAGGTTGCTGGGCTTTTGTTTTTCTTCCTTCACTCCCAGTTCTCAGTTTTACCCTGCTTGATCTCTGCTGCAAATAAGCACAAAGTCATCTGAAGTTAGGTTTGCTTCTCCTAAGACTTGAAGGTGGAGAGGATTTCTCTGCAGAGCCAACTTGCTCGCAGGGGAGAAATCAACTGCACTGCTCAGCCTCGCAAACGCTCAGAACTGACGCCGCGCTGCTCTGAGTAAATGTGGTTAAACTTTGGCTTGCTCGTTCCTGATTGTTGTGCATATGGAAGTTGAACCGTGTTTATTCCTCAGGGTTATGTTTTTGAAGGTTAAGTCTCTGTGTAGCATAATGTGGAAAAAGCACCGCTGTCAGTAAGAAGAGCTGCCCTGTGCACCGCGAGCTCTTCACTTAACAAGGTGTCCGGGACTTTCTCTGCACCCGTTGCAGACGTCGAGTTGCCCTATCCTGTGGCTAACTGGCTGTGTGATAGTTCACTCTATGCATACACTATGCATTTCTTAGACACCCTTCTATTTATTAAACTGTAATTTAAAATATATAGCAGTTATTGACTTTAAATAATTTTTTTTCTGATAGTATTTTTATTTTTAAACAAAAGAATCCAAAATTTATTATGTAGGAATGACAACAATACATTTAAATGCCATCATCTGTATTCCCTGTGGCATTTTAAAAAAATTGTATTTTAGGTTCTGGGGTACAAGTGCAGATCATGCAGGTTGTTTTATAGATACTTACATGGCAAGGTGGTTTGCTGCCTCCATCCCCCATCACCTATATCTGGCATTTCTCCCCATGCTATCCCTCCCCAACCTCCCCCCCGACTGTCCCTCCCCTAGCCCCCCTCAACAGACCCCAGTGTGTGATGCTCCCCTCCCTGTGCCCATTTGTTCTCATTGTTCAATACCCACCTATGAGTGAGAACATGTGATGTTTGATTTTCTGTGCCTTTGTCAGTTTGCTGAGAATGATGGTTTCAGATTCATGCTTGTCCCTAAAAAGGACACAAATTCATTGTTTTAAGTATTAAATTACTTATGGAGGTGACTTGGAAACTGGGTAAAAATACAAAGAAGGTAATATGGCACCTGCAATTTCGCCACCCAGAGATGACCACTGTTTGTGCGTGCGTTTTTGTTTTTTATTCAAAATTGACTTTGCAAAAAAGATATACTTTTACCATATAACCTTGCAACTTCTTTTTAAAAATATCTGTAGTCCAGGCATGGTGCCTCATACCTCTAATCCCAGTGCTTTGGAGGCCAAGAAAGGCAGATCACTTGAGGTCAAGAGTTCCAGACCAGCCTGGCCAACATGGTGCAGTCCCTGTCTCTACTGAAAATACAAAAAAAAAAGAAAAAACTGGATGTGATGGTGGGTGCCTGTAATCCCAGCTTCTTGGGAAGCTGAGGCAGGAGAATCGCTTGAACTTGGGAGGCGAAGGTTGAAGTGAGCTGAGTTCATGCCCCTGCACTTCAGCATGGGCAGCAGAGTGAGACTCCGTATCAAAAAAAAATTTATCTATATATTAAAACAAATATATTTTATATATTTAATTATGTATATTTATATCTCTATATATTTATTATATATAAGATATTAAAACATTCTTTGTGGAGTATTTCATATGTGCTAAGCACTTCGATAAATGCTCTGAATGAAGAGATGTTGCTGTATCTGACTTTTGCTCTGTAGTTTGTGTGTATATTTTAAAAATTGCAATCATATTATACTTATAATCTAGTAGCCTACTTTGCAACGTGTTAGAAATAGATTGTATATATTTCCTCTGTCATTGAATGTTCTTCTGCAGCGTAGTTATGAATGGTCGTGTCTTATTTCCATTTTCCCCTCAGTTTTAAACAATGTGATGAACATGCTTCTGCATCAACCTTTGGAGCCCACTTTCTTTAGGATCAAAGGGCATATGCACTTTTACAGCTTTTGATACATATTGTCAGTAATAACTAGTCACTTTTATGTCACTGTGTTTATTAAAATATTGCTAAGTAAAACATTAACAGCTTGGACAAGTGGAAGTTTGCTTTTCTGTTTAAAATCAGTATTTGCTAAGCAAATAAATAGCTAAGTAGAATATGCAAATAATGCAAAAAGCACATTATCAACATTAATATACATTACAGATATATTGCAGGTGTAATGCAAATTTTTTGTTTTATTGAGATGGAATCTGGCTCTTATCACCAAAGCTACAGTGCAATGGCTTGATCTTGGCTCATCGCAACCTCTGCTTCCTGGGTGATGGTAGTAAATAATAAGGTATTGTATACTTGAAAATGCTAAGAGAGTAGCCAGGCACGGTGGCTCACACCTGTCATCTCAGCACTTTGGAAGGCTGAGGCGGGCAGATCACTTGAGGTCATGAGTTTGAGACCAACCTGGCCAACATGGTGAAACCCTGTCTCTATTAAAAATACAAACACTAGCTGGGCATGGTGGTGGTGCCTGTAATCTCAGCTACTTGGGAGGGTGAGGCAGGAGTAGCGCCTTGAACCCAGGACGCTGAGGCTGCAGTGAGCCAAGATAGCACCACTGCATTCCAGCCTGGGTGACACAGTGAGAGTCTGTCTCAAAAAAATAAAAATTAAAAATTAAATTAAATTTTAAAATTGCAAGGAGTAGTAGGTTTTAAGTGTTCTCATCACAAATAAATGATAAATATATGAGGTAATACATATGTTAATTAGCTTGATGTTTTTTGTTTTTTTTTTTAAAGAAATGGAATCTTGCTGTGTTTCCCAGGCTGGTCTCAAACTCCTGGGCTGAAGCAATCCCCACATCTTGGTCTCTCAAAGTGCTGAGATTACAGGCATGAGCCACTGCGCTTGGCCTAATTAGCTTCATTTAGCCATTCCACAATGTAGTCGTAATTTAAGACATCATGTCGTACACTGTATATATATATATATATATATATATACAGTAATAAAAAGAGAGTTTGCAAAAATATTTTCTGTACATCATGCTATAGCAGAGTACTTCTAGAATTTTTCAGTTGCAATCATGGGTGAATTTATAATAGCCTTTTTTTTTTGAGACAGAGCGTTACTCTGTCACCCGGGCCAGAGTGTAGTGGCACCATCTCGGCTCACTGCAACCTCTGCCTTTCAGTTTCAAGCAATTCTCCTACCACAGCCTCCCAGGTAGCTGGGATTACAGGCATGCACCACCATTCCCAGCTAATTTATGTATTTTTCGTAGAGACGTGGTTTCACCATGTTGACCACGCTGATCTTGAACTCCTGACCTCAAGTGATCCACCCACCTCAGCCTCACAAAGTGCTGGGATTATAGGCCTGAGCCACTGCACCCAGCCTTATAATAGTCTTTTGCCATTAGGGCTAAAATGCTACTTATTTAAAACTTTATTTTCTTAACAATAGCATCAGCATTGAAAAAATAGAAAACTAAATGAAATATCCCATATTCCCTTCTTCTAAGTGCTAATTTCTGGATACATGTATTTAAAACTTCTTTAGTGTAAAACACGGTGAGACTAGCTCTCACGAGGTCTGCCTTGTACCAGAATGTCATGTATAGTCTCACCGGTTAGCTAATTAATCTTATCTCTGTTTCACAGATGATACAGCAGGGGGGTCAGAGGAACTGCGTGACTTGCCCAAAGTCGTGCCTCTTGTAGGTGGAGAACCAGGGTTCTAACCTGGGGCTGTCTGCAGTGAAAGTCCTGTGATTTCTCCAAATAGGTCAAATTAGCTTTGACAATATGGTTATTGCCGCTGGGCTGATTGAGTAAGAAAGGGCTGTGTCTTAAGCACTAAATATGGTCACACCTTTTAAACAACCTCGTTGACAGTGTGTTCCTTTTAGGTGTCGATTTTTCTGTCTTTGGCAATTTCACTGAAAAAGACTTTTCTATTATTTTCCTTAGCCTCCTTCAGTAGCAGCTTTTATGGGAGGAACATTCCGGATATGGTTTGGCTGTGTCCCCACCCAAATCCTATCTTGAATTATAGTTCCCACAATTCCCATGTGCTGTGGGAGGGACCTGGTTGAATTATAGTGATTCCCATGTGATGTGGGAGGGACTTGGTGGGAAGTCACTGAATCATGGGGTGGGCCTTTCTCGTGCTATTCTCGTGATGGTGAATACGTCTCATGTGGTCTGATGGTTTTATGAAGGGGCGTTTCCCTGCCCAAGCTCTCTTGTCTTGTCTGCCGCTATGTGAGACATGCCTTTCACCTTCCCCTGTGATTGTGAGGCCTCTCTAGACACGTGGAACTGTAAGTCCATTAAACCTCTTTCTTTTGTAAATTGCCCAGACATATCCAACTGCCATACCAATGGGGTACTTCTTTATCAGCAGCTTGAAAATGTTCTAATATAGTCCCTTTGTGGCATTAGAGTGTATCGGTTCCCACTGCTGCTGTAATAATTTACCGCAAACCCAGTGGCTTCAGGCAGCACAGATTCCTCACCTGACCTCCAGTTCTGCAGAATAATTACTCCCAGAGGTGTCTGCATCCTAATTTCCAGGACCCCTGAGGCTGTGACCACGGAGCTGGATCTAGAGGGTGGAAAGCTGAAGCGGGTCTCCCAGGCTGAACTTCAGGTGTCTGCAGCTGCGCTCCTTTGTGGGGGCTCTTGGGGAGAATGTGGTTTCTCATCTTTTCCAGCCTTGAGGGGCACCCACATGTCTTGGGTCATGGCCCTCCTCCATCTCCAGGGCCGTTGGGCTGGTGGGTTCTTCCTCACTCTGAGCTTGACTCTCTGGCCTCCTTCTTTCGCTTGTTTCTTCTTTTTATTTTGAGATGGAGTCTCGCTCTTGCCCCCCAGGCTGGAGTGCAGTGGTGCGATCCCGGCTCCCTGCAACCTCCGCCTCCTGGATTCAAGCAATTCTCCTGCCTCGGCCTCCAGAGTAGCTGGGATTGCAGGTGCCTCCCACCATGCTCAGTTAATTTTTGTATTTTTAATAGAGTCGAAATTTCACCCTGTTGGCCAGGCTGGTCTCGAACTCCTGACCTCACGTGATCCGCTCGCCTTCACCTCCCAAAGTGCTGGGATTACAGGCGTGAGCCACTGTACCTGGCCTCCCTCTTTCACTTGTAACAACCCCTGTGGTTATGTTGAGCCTGTCTGGACAGTCTACCAAAATGCCCTCCCCTGTCACAGCCTCATGGGTCTTGGGAATTAGGATGTGGACATCACTGGGAGCAAATATTCTCCCTTTCACAGATTCATGTCCTTCCCATTTAAGAAAAATCTTCATTGTGTCCCAACATCTCCCAAAGCGTAGACCCGTCACCCGTGGTGAACCTTCTCTACTGGGTGGGCATTTCTGTGTCTCTCAGTGTTTTTGGAAATGTTCTTACAGGTCTACAGTAAGAAATTCCAACAATATAAAGCGTGACAGAGTGAAAAGTCTCACTCCCATCCCAGATCTTTTTGTTTTGTTCTGTTGTTTGTTTGTTTTTTGAGACAGAGTCTCGCTCTATTGCCCAGGCTGGAGTGCACTGGTGTGATCTTGACTCACCGCACCCTCCGCCTTCAAGTGATTCTCGTGCCTCAACCTTCTGATTAGTGGGATTACAGGTATGCACCACCACACCTGGCTAATTTCTGCATTTTTACAAAAATAGCGACAGAGTTTCGCCATGTTGCCCACGGTCCCTTCCCCAGAGGTGACAACAGTTATTACTTTGTCACGGATGGTCTGTGCATAAAGAGCCGTGTGCTTATGGTTTTTGTTTTTGTGCAAGAATCTTTTGTTCACCAAGATGCACTTTTTTTGGCCAGTCTTTCTGTGTGAGTACACACACACACACACACACACAGCTCCAGAAAAAAGAGGTGGTCCTCACCAGTGAACACAACCTACAGGCTGCTACTCAAGCTGTGCGACTTGCAGCCTTGCTGGAGCCGTATGTATTATTGTTGGGCTCAATATCTGGAGCTGAATTTATAGCAGTGGAATTCTAGGGTGCGAGTGACCTAGATGGAGAAAAAGAAGACAGGATCTGCTCATTGACAAAAACAGGTCAAAGCCCTATAAAAGGAAAGGGCAGTATCTCCTTTGAATATCTTGGGAGAAACAGCTTGTTTGAGAAATGTAACTGGGTGAACTCCAGTTAGATCTGGTCTACTGGGTGACTTGTCCGCCTTAGTCTCTTGACATTTTTAGTTGACCTCGGGAGTCCTTTCAGGGAGTCGCTTTTGACGAGCACATCATTCAGCCTGAGATGGACAGGCCTAATGCCCTGCCCTGCTTATCTGTGCTCACGAAATGTTCATCAAGGAGGCAGGGCGTGGACTCACCTGCTGCCTCCCATCTGCACCGGGGCCTGTCACTTGGAAAACACATACTCCCTTTGCAAATTCCTTCCTACTTGATGCCCTCAGCACCTTGCGTTATTCTGGCCCTCATCCTAGCTGTGCCTTTCATAGTTCATCACCGCTGCTGCACTCAACAGTTCTAGGATATAATCAAGGTGGTCTTGAGGCTATCCTCAAGATGATGCCTCTGTCTCCTCTGTTTTCGTCCCAAGCTAGCATGGTGCCTGCTGGTGGTGATGAACGACAGGACTCATTTGGAGAGCCCTTTTTTTGGTCATGAAATGTAATGATTCCAGATTAGCCCATTTCCTAGGAATGATAAGCTTGGCTTTGATAGATGATGGCTAACCAGATTTTTTATTTGCTAAAGTTTAAAATGAATTAGTTGAAGGACAGCCCCGACCACTGTGGTGGGGCCTCCCGTCCTGGCTCTTGGTGTTGCGTTTATTAGTGATACCCATTCTGCTCTTCAGGAGAGGTGGATGCAGCTAAACATACAGCAGAGCACGGCTCCTGTGACCTGGGAGCATCGGCGTTTAAGATTCTTGCTTGGGAACGGTTGGTGAAGGCTGTCGCTGGGGCTAAATTCTGCTTTGTGACTGTCGTTGCTTTGCAGGCCACCGAATCCCTTTTGGAATCATCTTTGGTGGAACTGATGTAAATGAAGATGCCAAACAGAAAGAAAAAAACACAGTGATGGGAAGAGTTCTTGAGGAAGCCAGGTAATCCTGTGAGAAGCTCACCCACGTCAAACACTTAAACTGTGTGGATGGAATTAATTGAAACCGAAAGATGGAGGGACTCGTGGGAACGTTTACATCTTACCACTTAATACCAATTTCATGTAACCTTTTCTTCATTTGTTACACTTTTATTCTGCCACCAATAGTCATTGCTAACAGGTCATTGCACTTACGTCTTTAACTACAGTTGATATTAGAGAAGCCTCTTTAGAAGGGTCTGCATGGAGCCGGGCACAGTGAGGCACACCTGTGTTCCTAAGTACTTGGGAGGCTGAGGTGAAAGGATCATTTGAGCCCAGGAGTCCAAGGCTGTAGGGTGCTATGGGTGCACCCCGGCCTGGGTGACCGCGCAAGCCCTCTTCTCACAAAAGAGCGATCTGAATGTAGAAAACACAGAACACAGGCAAACTCCAGCCTTATCAGCACACAAATTAGGATCTAGTGTGCGTCAGGTTTGCCCAAGTCTATTGTTTGGCATGGCTCTTATCTATGTAGCTTTCTGAGATATATATATATATATATATATATGCCATTTGCAAGAAGGGCACCACCTGGATTTCTAAGTGGTGGCTCAGTCCTTTTCCTTGGGTCTGTCCCTCCAGCTGTCCTGGGAACCTCAGAGGTAGCTGCTGTGAGGACAGCGCTCCGTGTTCTGAGTGGTGCTTCTCAAAGGCGTCTCTCTGATAATCCTGGGGGCTACCCTGCACATCTCTGATCCCAGACACCACCCACTGGCAGCACCCTCCAGGCACCACAGCTACCCAGTAGGTCTCCCTATAATTCTAGTGCCCCCAGGGTGGGGGAGGTTACTATCCCCAGTTGAGAACCTTCCAGCACTGTACTTCCCAACTTTATCCACTTCGAGGTGGTGAAAGCAGGTTCATGGGAGGCTGTTGTCCAGGACTGGCCCCTGCACTGGGCCCCAGCAGACCAGCCCAAGACAAAACGGACTCACTCCTGCTGAGCGCTGTGTAATCCAACTGAACTTTGAAATGGGGCAGTTTTCTTTTTTCTTTTCTTTTGTCTTTTCTTTTCCCTCCCCTTCCTTTCCCTCCCCTCCCCTCCCCTCCCCTTCCTTTTCCTCCCCTCCCCTCCCCTTCCTTTTCCTCCCCTCCCCTTCCTTTCCCTCCCCTCCCCTCCCCTTCCTTTCCCTCCCCTCCCCTCCCCTTCCTTTCCTTTCCCTCCCCTTCCTTTTCCTCCCCTCCCCTCCCCTTCCTTTCCCTCCCCTCCCCTCCCCTTCCTTTTCCTCCCCTCCCCTCCCCTTCCTTTTCCTCCCCTCCCCTCCCCTCCCCTTCCTTTCCCTCCCCTCCCCTCCTCTTCCTTTCCTTTCCTTCCCCTCCCCTCCCCTTCCTTTCCCTCCCCTCCCCTCCTCTTCCTTTCCTTTCCCTCCCCTCCCCTCCCCTTCCTTTCCCTCCCCTCCCCTCCCCTTCCTTTCCCTCCTCTCCCCTCCCCTTCCTTTTCCTCCCCTCCCCTCCCCTTCCTTTCCCTCCCCTCCCCTCCCTCCCCTTCTTTTCCCTCCCCTCCCCTTTCTTCCCCTCCCCTTCCTTCCCCTCCTCTCCCCTTCCCTCCCCTCCCCTCTCCTCCCCTTCTTTTTTTTGACAGTCTCACTCTGCTGCCAAGGCTAAAGTGCAGTGGCAAGATCACGGCTCACTGCACCCTCTGTCTCCCAAGTTCAAGTGATTCTCGTGCCTCAGGCTCCTGAGTTGCTGGAATTACAGGCACCTGCCATGACACTCAGCTGATTTTTGTATTTTTAGCAGACACAGGGTTTTGCCATTTGGCCAGGCTGGTCTTAAACCCCTGACCTCAAGTGATTCACCTGCCTCAGCCTCCCAAAGTGCTGGGATTACAGGCATAAGCCACCGTGCCTGGCCTGAAATGGGCCAGTTTTCTAAAAAGTGAGAGATTCCAGCCAACTTCAGTCATCTGAATAGGGAAGTCTCCTTTGCTTTAACCGTATAGGGAAAGTAACTCTGAAATGCCCATCTTATTTTTGTTTTCTGTGTCTGTCTATAAAACACACCACCTCCGCTCAGCTCATCAGAGCACTTCTTCTGTTTCATACAGGGAGCTGCTGCCCGACTCTAGAATTGCTAATAAAAGCCCATTATGATCTTGGAACTAAATTTGGTGTCATTGTGCCTTTTCGCAAGGCATACTTAGAAAATTATCGTATTTGTACAGTAATTTAAAGTGGGTTGAAAGGCTTGATTAAAAAAATCACTCCCATTTCTTTGTCTAACAAATGCAATAATAAATAAAGATAAAAGTAGGCCAGTCAAGGTGGTGGCTCAGGCCTGTAATCCCAGCATTTTGGGAGGCCCGAGGAGGATGTGACATTTGAGGTTAGGAGTTTGAGACTAGCCTGGCCAATATGGTGAAACCCTGTCTATATTAAAAATATAAAAATTAGCTGGGAGTGGTGGGTACTTGTAATTGGGGGTATTCGAGAGGCTGAGGCAGGAGAATCACTTAATCCCAGTGGTAGCCAGGCACAGTGGCTCATGCCTGTAATCCCAGCACTTTGGGAGGCTGAGGCAGGCAGATCACCTGAGGTCAGGAGTTTGAGACCAGCCTGGTCAGCATGGTGAAACCCCATCTCTATTAAAAATACAAAAATTAGCCAGGCGTGATGGTGTGTGCCTGTAGTTCCAGCTACTGGGGAGGCTGAGGCAGGAGAATTGCTTGAACCTGGGCGGCAGAGGTTACAGTGAGCTGAGATCGTACCACTGCACTCCAGTCTGGGTGACAGAGCTAGACTCCATCCCAAAACAAAAAACAACAACAGAAAAAGAACCCGGGAGGTGGTGGTTGCAGTGGGCCAAGATCTTGTCATTGCATTCCAGCCTGGTGAGAGAGTGAGACTCAGTCTCAAAAAAAAAAAATAATTAAAAAATTAGAATAATGATAAAAGCAATATGAATCTTCCATGATCATATCAAAATTATGGAAAAAGAGGAAATTAAATCAAAAGAACTAACCCTACATGCATACAGAGAACTTTTCTGATAAGTTCTGAGGTGGTCAGTGGGCCTCCTCGGGGTGCCCCAGACAGGTGGGGAGTCCTGTGCAGTTTGTCCCTCCCACATGCTCACTGGCTCCCGCCGTTAGAAGAATGCCTTGCCTGTGGCTAGAATAACCCTGAATTCAAAGTTGACAGGTGGCCCAACTAGTACTGTCTAACTATCCCTTCAACTCTTTTAAATCTTTGAATCATTGTAAAAAGCAAAACCGGTAGCTGATTTTAAGCCAATAAATCACTAGCCATCAATTTTCTGTGGCTCACCTCATGGCTGGGAAGCTCTGGCCAGGGGACTGGGGACACTTCAAGACTTTATGTAGCTGGGTCACCCTATTCCATACCAAGGACAGTACTCAAAGTTCTGTCTGCAGCCTCCAGTTCCTTTTTTGGTAATGCAGGTGTCCGTCTCGCTTCTGAAAAGCAGGGTTACTGGGGGGTATCACTGCATTTAGGACCCTACTCCTTCCTGCGGACCCCTGAGCATACTGTTGTGGCAATACAAGTGTGGACCCAGAAAACCTGAGACAGGCCTGAGCTACTGTTTGGAAAGCTGATTTTGCCAAGGTCAAAGACGCATACCAGTGACACAGCCCTAGGGAGTCCTGACGACAGGAACCCAAGGTGGTCAGGGCACAGCTGGGTTTGATGCAGGTGAGAGAGATGTGAGACACCAATCAGTATATGTAGGAAGCACGTCGGTTTGGTCTGGAAAGCAAAGGGGGAAAGACTCAAAGCAGGGAGGGGACTTCCAGAGCACAAGAGGTGACAGACCAAAGCTTGCATTCTTTTGAATTTCTGATAAACCTTTCCGAAGGAGGCAATCAGGCAGACATTAATCTCAGTGAGCAGGTGGATCACTTTGAATAGAATGGGAGGCAGCTTTGCCCTCAGCAATCCCCAGCTTGAATTTTCCCTTTAGCTTAGTGATTCTGGGGGCCCAAGATATTTTCCTTTCACACAGCCTTACCATAATAGAGAGCACACGTGTGTGCATGCGTCTGAGTGCTGTAATCAAAAAAGGCATTGAAACACTTCGGGGTTCCCTTGAAAGGGGATCGTTTATTACAGGTTTTCTTGTGGTTGTTCTTACACTCTGCAGATTCATTCCCTTTAGATCCTTGTAGTTGATAATGCACTGCCTTATGGAAGGAAAATGATTCTGTTCACTGGAAACTACAGTGAATGAATCCATCTTATAGTATTATCATTAGTATTATTCACAGCACTGTGATTAAAACAAACTTGATTCCGTTTGGGGGATTATTGATCGAGGCTAGTGGGCAGGAAAGCTGCATGAATCAGAGATTCCTTGTCCAATACAATATAGCACTCTTTTCTGTAAAACAGTGTTGAGCTTGTCTAGCTTTATAATGAGTATTTCATTTTTAATCAAATCCTTTTAAATAATTGTATTTTTCCTATAGGGTCTATTTTTGAAGTTTGTTTTAGTATTGAAAAATTTTTTGCTGTATCATATAGTAGTATTTGAACTCACTTTAGTTTTAGCCTTTTGGCTTATAAATATCATAATGCAATAAGCACTTGATAATTATATTATCAGTGTCAAAATGAAGAGTATTTGAAACCTATGGAAATTGTTTGGTGAGGGATCATCCAGGTCCATATTAGAAAAAAATATTGTTGGCCAGGCGCAGTGGCTCATGCCTGTGATCCCGGCATGTAGGGAGGACAAGATGGGGCAGATCACTGTGGTCAGGAGTTCAAGACCAGCCTGGCTAACATGGGGAAACTCCGTCTTCACTGAAAATACAAAAATTAGCACGGCATAGTAGCATACACCAATAATCCCAGCTACTCAGGAGGCTGAGGCAGGAGAATCGCTTGAACCCAGGAGGTGGAGGCTGCAGTGAGCTGAGATCCACTCCAGGCTGGACGACAAAGCAGAACTCTGTCTCCAAGAAAATAATAAAGTTAAATTAAATTAAAAAAAAAACAC